AGGCAAGGACAAGTCAGATGCAGTCGCCAGGATCATTTGCACCGACGGTGGAAGACGCTGCAAGAAAAGCTCTTTGAAAAACTGGCTTTCGAACGTCTCGGCACGGTCGCCGAGAAGCGCCTGCATCTGGCGGAGAAGTTGCGATTGGCGACGGTTGCCCAGTTCTTCTGCTGAGAATAAGTGCGGCAGGCGTTTGCGTTTCGAAAGCATTGCGCGTTCTAAGATGGCTTCTCTGAGACCATCGTACGGGTTCGTTGCAGGCGGTCGCGCGAGGATGTCGTAGACCTCCAGTGCCATTTCGCACGGCAGCGAAGCCTGGACATTGCTGAACCGTACCTCTTAGGATCTTATCTTGGCCAGTCGGAAGCTTCCCTCGACTTCATGAAACCAGACTTCTGGGTGCTGTGCCCCCAATGGTCGCAGGCGAACAGCGTAGGCGCCGACGGTCGCAGCGGAGGTTGCAGGAAGCCCAGCATCAGCTCGGGGAACGTTGTGACGTTCCATGCTGGAATGTCCGGGTCACCAATGTAGAGAAAGACAGACGAAAAGCGACTACGTCGGGCGAATTCCGTAATCGAACTGATATGCCTCTTTTATTCCACGCGATCTTCTTTTCGCAGTGGCTATCGCCACACAGTCAATGCGCCAGCTGAGGAATCAAGTGCAAGTCGCAAGGGGTAACGCCTCGTTAGTACGGTGGGTTTAGGAACGACAACAGTTCTTGATTTGGCAAAGAAGCCGGATTGTTGGTCTTCTGCCCAAACAAACCCAGAATGTATTGTTAACAAACTAATCAGTAGGGTTTTCTTTTCAGCACAAGTTGAATTTTCTACATACCTACGTTGGTCGCAATTTCGGACTGCATTACATCGACCGCGTGACCTTTTTTGACTAAACTACGTTTTTGTACTGGAGGATTATGTAAACTTAAAACTGAAGAGTCACCGTGAATTTGCTCCAGACATGCTGCCGCACGGACGCAGTGCCGGAACTTCTCAATTTTACTTTTTCAATGCCGTCATTGGGTTTTGGTTTCCGGTCCTTTTTATGATATATTTTACAATCATTTCAAAATAAATATATAGACCAATTGGCCTATACAATTGACCTATATAACTATTAAACGCTCCCTTATGCGCCGTGATTAAAAGGAAGCTACAAAAATTGTTTGAAATCGAGAAAGAAAAAAGACCTGGAAGTTGTAATATAGACACATTAAAAAATATGGGTCGTCAGTTTTATATCGATGTTATTAGTAGGAGCGGTCGTGACCTCCTATTAAAATATCGACGTAGCCCCGACCGCAGGGGCACGCGGAATGCAGGTAGGGCGCGAGGTCATGAAGAAAAACTAGCGGAAGTGACGTCATCGGTGCGATCAGATGACCCTTGCTCGCCACTAAGCTGGCCCAGGGATGCTGACGATAACGTAACAATGCTTTGGAAAAATAACAGGTGGCAGACAGGCACGCCGCATGCCCTGGGATTTTTGATGCAAACATTTGTCTAATTAGATTACGTTTACACTTACATTTTTTTTTTTCAATGAACTCAACTCACGCACTCCGGGTATCATAGAAAAATCGAAATTGCAATCACACGTCTCTTTTTTGGTTTTCAATACTGTGACTGAAAATCCCGATATGTCTTTAATCTGGGACATCTCAGAAAAAGGGCAAGTCACAATGTTCGGTCACGCTCTTAATAAAAAAAAAAATACACGCATGTTTTTTTTTTTTTTTTTTTGACGCTTAGCGAGGGTAGGTTGAGTGTGCGACATAAAAAAAAGAATCTCGAGATGCACTTTGGTTCACCTTTAAGTGCGATAACTGAATTCACCGGGCCAAAAGTTACAGAATTCCGCCCCTAGGATTTCTTGAAAAGTTCTTAGTTTCCGTTCCATGAAAGAAGAGTCGTTATCTCGACTGTCGCGCTTCTTTATTTTCGAATACACCAACAAGATGCAGCATTCCCAAACCCTAGCAATTCGCGCAATTGTAGCCCCTTTTTTAGATACTCATATTGTATGAGCTTTCTTAAGAATAGAAGGCTGACCTATCTGCGCGTAATAAATATCTTCCCTAACTCGCGGCTGTGAATGATCTTCGCGTTGGTGACATTCTGACTTCTTCCCGAAAGCAACAGGCGTCGGCTGTCTTTGTTGCATCATGGAAGTAGGAGCTGGAATCTGAATTGCTTTTAAAATGCCGTTTTCTTCCTTTCAATCTATTCTGCACCACGTTTTGATAGTTGAGCTTTCTAAGTTTCTAAGTTTCAAGCGCGCTTTTTACGAATGCACAATAGAAGCTCAATCGGAAATACGATAGAATCGCTGACGACTTGAAATTTTTGTAAACAACGAAACCCCTTCATTTAGGTACTAGGCGTATTGAGAAAGCCCTAGAGAACGATTAGCTTACAAAAGCGACTTTCTCATTCCATTTCCAATCAAGGCTTTCAATTTAAGTTGAAATAACGGCTTGGTAAAAAAATAATGACATTTTTTTTTCACCCCACAGACAATATGCGCATTGTAAAACAATCAGAGTTTCACCATTAGTTGCACCAACGGTTGGTTGCAGATACCAAATTTATACAAAGCCTAGGGTTATCTTAACGAAACATTATCGGTAATTTTCGGAAAGTTTCAACGAGAATTTGGAGTCCGCTCCCGGCAGCAGCGTACCAGGTTTCCTTCCGCCACTTTTTTTTTAAATGTCATATGCCATGATGTAATAGAGTACAGATAATCGAAAGCTGAAAAATGTCTAAACCTATTTTGCGCATCTGAATAATAATATTCTTGTAGAATATCGCGGATCCACTCTCAAGAGTTGTCAATTTTCAATATTTTAGAATATTAGAAGACACAAATATCCAAAGAAAGGCACGCAACTTCTCCATAACCTAAAATCCTCAAACGACGAAAAAAAGAAGTGTGGGGGTGGTAGCGAAGATGACACGAAGGTGTCGAGTTTATAATTCCAACCATTTTTGTTTCTTAGTCAGAACAAATTTTTGGAACGATCGCTCACCAGCCTGCTTGCTCTTGCTCTTACTTCAGCAAAAAAAAAAAAATCTGACTTCTTTTTCCATAGCTAGTATATGTTGGTAAAGCCAGAGCCTTCTTTAACAATAAGAAACAACATTCAAGTTCCGAGCTCGTTTTTTTTCTTTTTTTTTTCTTTTTTTTTTTTTTGCGGGAGGGAATGGAAAGTATACATGCAACCAATATCTCAAAGAAAGTTTATATTGTCGATTGTGGGTTGAGCTTGCGAAGAAAAGCCACTTGCGACGAAGGCATGAGTGGTATGACAAGTTGCACTGCCGAAATGGACGTAAGATTTCCGTGATGTATTTAACGGCACGAATGCGCAACTCAGAATTTTCAAATGTTATAAATATGAAGAAAATATTCCGTGTCATCTGACACTTTAAAACTGAATATCTTGTGACAGATGACTCTTCTCTATAATCCACGGTCTACATTCGTGGTGCGTAAAGTGAAAAAAATAATGAAAAAAAAAGAAAACAAAGGCCCTGTACTTCGCCTTATGAAAAAAAAAGTTATATATTTTTGTTTATTTTGATGCGTATGGCGCGTGCAACATTAAGCCACACAGAGTGGACTAAAGATATGTGCTAACGATACACTGTCGTCAAATTTTCTGTAAATATTACACAAACATTAATATTTAGTTCGCAAAGAGCGTAATCGCAAACGGAAGCGCCGCCGTTTGTTTCACTCATTTTTTTTTTTTCACTTTTCGAGGCAACTTTCCGTTTAAACACAACGAAAAGCTCCAGGAGTTTGCTTTGTACGTGCACCTGACGTGAGTAATTAAAACCTCATTAGAAGACAATCACTTGGGCGCTCATTCTAACGACGCAGGATGGCGACGACATGCACTAATCATAATTTACGGACGCTGGAACACAACACATTAAAAGTTGAGTCGAGTACGTCCTACGTAAAGGATTTTGAGTGCTCTCACGACACGTTCAGTCCCTATATGCTCCGTTCATCCTTAAGTTGTTGACAGCGCTTTGGGAGCCAGTTTCCCGAAGCTATCAACCGCATCCCTTTCATCCCCTGACTCCGCCCTCTGCGTGTGGCTAGAGAGCCAAGATTGAAGAGAATGTCCATCTACAACCACGAGGAGCGTTTTGAAACTTAATGGCGCAGATTCGTCGCAATTGTGCATGCGCTGCGTTTTGGCGTGGCGAGAAGAAAAGTGCCGAAGAGGAAAGTCCTCCCTCGCCACTGCAAGAGGCGGGGTTAATTTTTTTTTTTGTTTCGTTTTTTTTTTTTTTTTTTTTGCATGATCCCACAGAGGTCATCTTGATTATATACCACACTGCCTCGTGATGGATAGGGGGAGCGAATTGGCTTCGAAGAGCGTGAAAAATTGTATGTTTGTTCTTTTAGCCTTAGGCTAGGTGGCGCAAGCTACCGTCCGTTAGAAAGGGTATAGCCATTAACATCCATTTAGGGGTGTGCAAATATTCGCCATTCTCGAATACTGGATCGAATATTACCCTATTCGATTTGTGAATCGAATCGAATGATAATTTTTAAAAGTTTTGAATATTTTTTCGAATAATTTCGGAATAATCGTTACGGTGTCCCGCAGCGAGATTCCCTTCACAGGCGTCGCACAACGCTCCGGCACTCCTGCCATACGTGCCCGTAATATGGCGATACGTACCCTCTACTCCTAGACAATAATTATCATCATCGGCAGCAGCAGTTTCTCTCTATACGTACTGTTGTATGTCGGCCAGAAGCGAGGAACAAGCAGGTTTCCAAAGGCGAAAGGACAGGTTTATTCCACCATGCTCATGGATGGGGGGTAACTGAGCAAAAGAAGGCGGTAGCCAGCGGAGCACCGCTTTTTATCATTTAGTGGCGCATGCGCCGTACTACGATATTCTGTTATCGGCGGCGCGCGCCCAGACATGACATTTCCTCCCTCTTTATTTGAACACGCTCAAAAAAGGTTAAGATCCGGCTTGAAATCTTTCGTGAGGTTTCCGGGTTCTTGCCGGATACCGTCGGGCAGCAGGCGCTTGTGCTGCTTCGGCTGGGACAGTTCCGCCAGTAGGTGACGAGGACGATGGTTGGGGTGCGTTGTCGCTCGGTTGAACCAACAGGAACTCTGTGCCTTCCTGGTCAGCGTCCTCGTCGGCAAGGCTTGGAGTTCTTAGCAGCTGGTCCTTGTGCCGACGCCAGGTGAAGCTGCCTCTGGGGGTGGTGGCGCGTGCTTGGTAGGAAACAGGGCCATGCTGCGCAAGAATCACTCCAGGCACCCACTTGGGTTTGCCACAGTAGTTACGGATGAGCACATGATCACCAACGGCAAAGTCACGATCGTGCCCACGCCGGCTTGCAGTCTGCATGAACTGTTTGCGGGCTACCCTTTCCCCCACAGAAGGCTTTACAACGTCTAGGCGACTGCGCAAACGTCGTCCCAAAAACAAATTGGCGGGTGACTCGTTCGTTGTGGCGTGAGCCGTGTTGCGGTAGCTCTGCAGAAACATCTGCAACTTCACATGCAAAGGCGCGCTCTCTTTGTTTTTACGGAGGGCGTTCTTGAGGGCCTGTACAAAGCGTTCGGCTAGACCATTTGAACTTGGATGGTAGGGAGCTGTCAGGACGTGACGGGAGCCAATTTCCTGTGTGAACTGTTTAAACTCCCGTGACGTGAACTGAGGACCATTGTCTGACACGATAGTTTCAGGGTTGCCAAAACGAGAAAAAAGTTCTCTCAAAGTGTTAACCGTGCTCTCCGTCGCGGTTGAGCGCATCATGAATACTTCTGGCCACTTGGAGTAGGCATCTACCACAACAAGGAACATAGACTGAAGGAAAGGTCCAGCAAAGTCTATGTGAACACGTTGCCACGGCGTTGTGGGCCATGACCACGGGTGCAGGGGTGCCTTGGCAGGCGCACTACGCTGCTCTTGACAACTTACGCAGTTTTTTACGCTGCGCTCCAGGTCCGCCTCGATGCCCGGCCACCAAACGTAACTGCGCGCGAGCTCCTTGCTGCGCACAATACCCGGGCGGCCCTCGTGAAGTTCATCCAGCAGCAGGGATTGCAGTTTCCCTGGGACGACAACTCGCATTCCGTGCATGATGCAGCCCTGATGAATGGTCAACTCGTTGCGTTTGTCGAAGAAAGGCTTTAGTTTCTCGTCAGAGACAGACGCGGGCCAGCCTGCGCTTGTGATTTCTTTCACTTGGCACAAAACTGGATCTCGCGCTGTTGCACGTGCAATATCACTACTAGATACCGGCAGTGATTGCAGTCGCAATGAGTAGAATGATTCCTCGTTTTCTTTAGTCTCGTTTCCAACAGTCGGTAGTGGAAGACGCGAGCAAAAATCTGCTTCGGCATTCTCGCTTGATCTCTTGAAGATAAGATCGTAGGTGTAGGCCGACAATATGACTGCCCAACGCTGCAATCGCGCAGCGGCAATGGTTGGAATTCCAGTTTTCGAACCTAAAATGGTCTGGAGTGGTTTGTGGTCCGTGACCAAAGTGAAGAGCCGACCATAAAAATACGAGTGGAATTTCTTAACTCCAAAAACAATGGCTAGTGCCTCTTTTTCGAGCTGACTGTACCCTTTTTCAGCGTTCGATAGCGTACGCGAAGCGTAAGCGATGGGTTTAGCGCTGCCATCTGCGTAAACGTGAAAAATTACAGCACCTACCCCGTACTGAGAGGCGTCACACGCTAGCTTTAGCGGTTTGTCGGGGTCGTAGTGGGCCAAGGTGGGAGGCGACGCCAGCTCGGCCTTGATGGTGTTGAAGGCTTCCTGGCAAAGCTGGTCCCAACACCATGGCTCGTCCTTCCGCAGCAATCTTGAGATGTGATTCAGCTCCCAGATCTTGTTCCAGTCGAGTCGTATCGCTCGAAGCCACTCCCGGCCCAGTAGTGGCGGCCCGGCTCCATCGACGACGTACAGTGGCAGCTGTACTGACGCCTCGCCATGTTGCACATTGACTGTCGCAACGTCTTGAAGTCGAACCAGGGCTCCCGTGTAGGTGCGAAGCCTGACTACAGTTGGCGTCAGTTTCACAGACGGGAAAAACTGGTGAAACTGTTTAGCAGACATTACAGCTACCGCTGCTCCTGTGTCTAGTTCCATTTCAACCGCAGATCCGTCAGGGGCGGATCCAGACCTCCATTTTGGGGGGGGCGGTTCCTCGGCGTAAAACGGGGGGGGGGGGGGGGGGAGTGTTTATATTTTTTGTGGAGTCATCGTTTTTACTAAACTCTGATAACATAATATAGATCATGAGAGCTTTTGTATCGGTTTACCTGTAGGGGATGAACTCTTTGAACTTTCTGTGGCTATGCACACCAAGGCACACGCTCCCGTACTTTTGACTGCATAGCCTCAGAAAGCTGGGCATCTGGCCAACGCAATGTCTCTGCTCGTGCGGAAAATCACGTGCAATTGCAGGCTTACCAAAGCTATATTCACGTGCACGCCATACGTGCCTGCTCGTATGGGGCACCAGTCAGGACGCTACACTGTAGCGTCCTGACTGTAAATTTGACCGTAAAATTTACGGTCAAATACCAGGCAGCTGATGCTGCCAAACTTGTACAGTAAAAATAACGGTGCACTGTAAATCTGGTTTACGATAAATTTAAACGGGGACCGTAGAAATCTACGGTCGGCCTTCAAATTTGCGGTAAAAAAAATTTACAGCGCGCCGTTATGTTTACGGTGCAATTTAAACGACGAGAAAGGTGGTAGTATTCAGGTTCATAACATCATTGTATAGTGATGTTATGAACTCAATGATGTTATGAACCTCGACTGAACCAAGCACGTTTTGAAGGCTTTCAGCAAGTTGGCCGAACATGTATTGTTTGTACAAGAAATGCCGACGTTGAAATTCATAAATGGTTTTTTGAACTGTTGATACCGGCATAAGAAGCGTTCCGTTGAACTTCAGGTACAAAACAAAACAAGGTCGTATTTTACGGCCTTCATTTTTTCTCCTGCAGACAGAGACATTAACACGTCGTAGTTATCATTAGGGGATTGCATCACGTTAACAGCACCGTCTTCATTAGAATCCGCACTAGTCGACCGAGTCGAAGAGTCCTCAACCTGAAGCGGGCCTGCAGGCGATGCGCCGTCGCCCAAGAAACCCGTCACTCGTAAATGCGCCCAGTTCAAATGTGCCGTGATCGAACTATGATTTCACACCTTCTGACAGTTGGAGCACGAACACGAAAACAAAATGCTGTCGGTGATGTGGCCTTTTAGATGTTTTAGCAAAGCCTCCCTTGTGTGGCACTCCTCTAGGCATGGTGGCAAAGTGCACAGAAAGCTTTCCAAACTCCTCGAAACAAACCAAACTTCCCTTAGGCGTACCAATGCCTATGTCTTCTCAAAATATGACACCTGAGAGCATCATACGTAACAAACTGGCGACAGCATCCTTCGTCCACACACTGAAGAATTTGAGAGCTGAAAACGTGCTCATCGAATTGCACAACCATCAAGCGTGCTTGAACAGAAACTACAAATTCTGCAAGTAAACATCTTTTAGAGTGTTGTATTTATGCCACCATTACACTATCCTTGCCAATCAAGCAGCAGATTGATAGTGAAATACCTGCCTCGAGTATCCAGTTGCCTTCCGCTCCAAATTTTCAGGTGCACAAAAATCCGGGAATGCCACAAACGAATGAGGACAAAATGGCGCGGAGACGGGTGGGAAGGCGGGAAAATGAACTGAACGTCAGCTTTTTCCACTTCTTTCCGCGTTGTCCCAACCAACGTTCCTTTCTTTTGTTTATGCTTCTAGCTAGTCGCATTGTTGCTCTACTGTTTGCTCTTAGTTCTCTTTTATTTCCTTTTTCAGTTAAGGCAGTTACGCTCTGCGTTGGCGCGGCTGGCGCGGACAAGGAAAGGAGGTGAAGGGGCGAGAGGAGACTCTCTGGGTTCCCGCAGCTTCCGAAAGGTCAAGAGTGGTGACCAATTAGCGAAGCGCGTCTTTTCTTTCTGTTTTCTTGCTCCATGAAGTTTTGCGTTTCCCTCTCGGTTTTTTTGCTCGTTTACGGTGCATTTCAGATAATTCCTCTTCACAAGTACTTGTAGTTTTTATTAACGTATAGCGCCGTAAATTTGACGGTTACTTCTTACAGTGTATGCTTTCGAAGCTAAGCGCTTGTGAGCCCGAGCATGCTGGGCGCCGATAAAAGCTGCGCACAATGCCTGGTTACTACTACTGATATGTCAACAAACACCTCGACCGCACGAACACTCGTGTGGGGGAAGCTCCAAAACTAATAGATTGCGTTTGTCCAAAGTGAAGTAGGGTAAGATGGGCCAAATGAGACGCGGGGCAAAATGCGACAGTTGGAGTGAAGGCATCCAACGAAAGTTTTTGTTTAGTGCCAGCTATCACCTAGACACAAGTCTCAAGCTTCACTGAGACGTGCCTTAGCCTGTTCACTTTGCGTGAGCCATAAATGACTGCCTTTGGCAAGTCCTTTCCGGAGAAAAAGAAATGCCGATTTGAGATTGCCGAGTTTACCGCCCGTCAAAGAGGTGCATAATTCCGCGCGAGATTTCGCTTCGAGAAGTACGCCCCGGTTGGCACAGACTTTCTACCAAGGTATAATTTAATTTCATTCCTAAGTTTTATTCGCTTCATGCAGACCAAATTTGAGTGTTCAGCGTGCTTTTTTTACGGGAATAATTATTCGCGTAACGGGATACGCGCGAGACAAAACGCGACAATGTAGCATTGTATGACGCGTGTGTCAATAATGTACCAGTTTTCTGGTTGTTCCTGAGTCATATTTTCCTCTCGGTGTCTAGGAGGATCAAAACGTACAAAAGAAAGACAACAGGAGCTTCATGGCGCATAAGTAACACTACGAATGCTCTTGAAAGTGAAGCAACAGCGTCACTCCCTTCGCGTTGCCGCCACACTTTTTGGCGTACCAAGGGATGTGCTTCAAAAGCGAGCAAAAAGACAAAAAATATAAAAAAACAATGGCTCCACAAAAAAAAAAAAAAAAAAAATGGCGAGGCGTTTGGGGGGGGCGATCGCCCCCACCGCCCCCCCCTTGGATCCGCCACTGAGATCCGTTGATCACCATCTGCACCGTCACTGGGGTAAGGCTGGGCGAAGAAACGCCATGTACGACGGCTAGTCTTCCTTCAACTTCCAGCGTTTTTACCCTTTCTCCTGGCGGACGTTTCTTGCCCCCTACGTCAGTCCCGCTTCGGCAAACCCTTTGGATGTGACCTTTCTTGCCGCACTTGTGGCATACGCTCTGCCGATGAGGGCACTCTTGACTGCGGTGCCGTGACGACCCGCAGTGATAGCAGCTGTCCCTCTGCTTCTCATTCCCTGCTTGCACCTTGTGCACGTCAGTGACGCTTGAGTTGCCGACGCGAGCCTCAGCCGCGCTTTGCTTCGCAGCTTCCATGGCTTGGGCGCGTTCCACCGCTTTCTGGAACGTTAGCTTGCTGTCTTCCGTGAACAGCACACGCTGTATGTCTTCCCTTAATAATCCGCACACGAAGCGGTCGCGGAGTGACTCGTCCAAAACGCTTCCATAGTCGCACGTTTGCGACAGTTTTCGAAGTTCGGCGACGTACTCGGAAATAGACTCGCCTTCATGTTGCGCTCGCCGGTGAAACTTGGCTCGCTCACCGATGATGGACGGCTTGGGTGACAGGTGGTCGCCGAGGGCCTTCTTGAGGTACTCGAAGCTCTTCGTTGAAGGCAGCTCCGGAGCAGTCAGGGACTTCAGTAGCGCGTAGGTCTTCGGACTGATGATGCTGAGGAAGGCGTGAACTTTGTCGCTCTCTGGAACTCCGTTGACGATCAGGAACGACGTTAACCTTTCGTCGTAAGAAGCCCAGTCGCTGGAAGACTCGTCGAACGGTTCCAGATAACCCATTCGACCGGCGAAGTGCGTCCCGGCTTCTTCGCTCATGATGGCTGTCGATGCTATGTCCGCCCCTGCGGAAACACCTGCTTTTCTCGGCCGACGGTCCTTATCCGAACCTCGTCGCCAGTAGTTGTGTGTCGGCCAGAAGCGAGGAACAAGCAGGTTTCCAAAGGCGAAAGGACAGATTTATTCCACCATGCTCATGGATGGGGGGTAACTGAGCAAAAGAAGGCGGTAGCCAGCGGAGCACCGCTTTTTATCATTTAGTGGCGCATGCGCCGTACTACGATATTCTGTTATCGGCGGCGCGCGCCCAGACATGACACGTACGTTGCTGTTGCCTTCATTAGGGACTACTGTGTTAAGTACAACCAACGAGCTTGAATAAACTTAGATCGGTAAACCAGCGGCCAAAAATGGCACCCCCCCCCCCCCCCCCCCGGTTCTTGCCATCTTGACCGTTTGCCACATTAGTGATCACGTGACTTTAAGATTGCTGCTCCCATAGGTGCGCCAGATCAGTTTGGCCAGATTACGGTAAGGTGAGCCGCGGTTCAAGATTTACTTGATCTCACTCTAGGGCGAATGTTATGTACCTTAGCGTTCGAAAACCTACCTGTGTCCAGTTGCTCTATCGCGTCTCGTCACGTGACATGACCCACCGGAGTAACTCGGATCCATTCGAGTAAGATTGGAACCCAGTCCCAGAGGACCCCTCTACTTAGCATGATCTCGCCTATCTGATCAGGCCCCTTCTGGGTGCAGCCATCTTGACGTCACGTTATCACGGCAAACGGGCAAGATGACGGCAACCGGGGGGAAGGGGGGGGGTGCCATTTCCGCTGCAGGCCTTGGGTTGTGGTTTACCGTTCCAAGTGATAATCTAGCTCGTTTAGTTTAACCCGCATGAAAGCGATTCGGCAAGAGACGAGACAGGTGACGTCGACCAGCTTCGCTATCGCTCGGTCAGTCGCGCCATGAGGCAAGCCGCAAGAAAGTGGCGTGAGCAAGTGACCAAGGCGATGAGGGCGTTTTCTTGAAATCCAAACACCGAGCGACGCGACCAGCGACAGTGAGAAATCTCCGTCGCTCGGTGCGGACTCTCGTCGCTGTCGCTTGTCTCGTCGCTCGCTAAATCGCTTACATGCGGATCAGCCTTCAGGGACCGCTTTCGCATAATAATGCTCGTGCACGCTTTCGGAAAGCGCGTCGTGGAGACGTTTAAGAACTGGTTGCAACGGCACCGCCGCTCTGTATAAGCAAAGTAGAAGCAGTAGAAGCGGGAGGTTGTTCGAAGCGAAAGCGCAGTAGAGTGTGGAAATTTTTCGGCCGCTCCCCTGCAACCATTGAATAAGCCACAACAGCTACTTGTGCCGAGTCTTCCCCAAAACTTTCTATGGTTGTTTCACTTGCTCAGTGTGTGAATATGTTTTTTTTAGGGCGCGAGTGGAATAAGACAGTGCGTTTTTCCACAATCTTCTCAGATCAGTGAAAACAAGGTTCCTGGACGTAAGCACACAGGCACATCACGCCCTTGCCCCCTTCCTTGATCCTCGATTCAAGGACGTCGGCTACAACAAGGAATGAAAAATAATGTAGAGGTCCTACTAAGTACATTTCTTCAGGAACTACCAGGCTCAAGCGAACACTGATTTTATGCTCAACATCCGCTTTAGCGTGATATTATTATTTAGCATTTTAATATATTAGTAGTTTTTGACTCTATTTAATTGTATATCGTTCAACTCTAGTCAGTATCGTCTAGTCGCGTTGTTACAATAATTTTAAGAAACATTTTAGAACAATAAATATAATTTTATAATCGCCTTGCCCTTCTTTAGTAACTGCCCTACTTACAAATCAAAAAGTACACAAAAATTATTTGATTCGTATTCGTATTCGATTCGGTGCCACAATTATTCCATTCGTATTTGATTCGGTTTCAGAAATCACTATTCGCATACCCTTAACACCCATCCATCCAACCAGGCTGAGAAACTCTGAGACGACCTAAGTGTTCGTCACCTCATCGCAGCATGTATTGCAAACGCGACCCACGTACCCATTGTAGGCGTTACCGAAAAAAATAACAAAATACTTTATTAGTTCCTTACAAAATAAAGTAACGCGTTACCAACCTACGCTACGTCAAAATAAAAGGAACGCGTTACCGTTACGGGTACCGATAAAAAATAGCGCACGTTACTTTTTATTCGTAAATAAACGGTAAAGGCGTCTTGTTTTTGTTTTTTTGCGACAGTGTTTTTTGATATTGGGACAAAGGCCGTGGGCGTTTTTTTTTTTTAAAGGTAGTCTTCTTGCGTGAGAAAATAGAGGCATCATTTTGAAAGTATGTAGAATGGGTTCATTAATCAATGACCTGACCCCTAGACTTTGTTTCGGCTTAATTCCAGACGCAGCTGAAACTACGAGCCTGGAACAAATCAAGCAGCGTCAAAAGCGCAAGCCAATGGGCATTTTTTGCTAAAAATGTTCGTCAGGTAAGTGGTTTGGATCCCACAATTGCGTCATCAAGCTTTGCGAAGGCAAGATCGAAAGAAACTGTCCCCTTTTTTTCTTGCAATTTCACCGCAACGAAGAAGCTTCTGGATCAGTGGCGGTCCATGCGGGTATACTTGGGCCAAACTAGGACCGATACATCTCTGTATAGTCATGAATAGTCCAACCCAATGTTGTTTCATGACCCTTTACGGTGCCTGTCGCTGTAGATGTGTGTTTTAAGATCACGACAAACACGGCATAACAACCACGCTTCCACGCATCGCTGGCATGTAAAACTGATTGTTGTGTAGACGCCCGCCCTTTTTTGAGAAACATGAAATAATAACCGCCTTGCCCCCCCCCCCCCCCCCCCCCCAAAAAAAAAAAATCTATGAGCGACGACTTTTTTGTGTTTTTCTTCTGGTGACGTTTAATGTGATTTACATATTTGCCGGAAGATACATCGGTTATTTCCAATATTCTTCGCACAATAGTCCAACTTGCTGTTTAGAAAAACGTCCGAGTTTGCCGGCAGTAGGGGTGACTATTGCGCACGCGCAAAAACCAGAATCACACGCATAGTTTGAGCATGCGTCGTGTTGAAAACAGCATCCAGACATCGACATCCACAGTGCAATAAAAGGCAGACAAATTATTTTCAAAAGACTCCTGAAGAGCAGCAAATGCCGAAAGTCCTCGCGTCTCTTTCCCAAGATTCGGAGCGAGAGTGGGGAAGCTCGAGTGTCTGGTTTGTCCTTTTGTTTTGATTGCTCCACAAACCGCGACCTTTTCTGCAGCTGCCTCATTCGCGAAGTCGGACGCAACACTTCTTGTTTGTCACAGTTTTGTATAGTTAATGTCCTCGTCGGGGCGTCTATACGAGCTCGCACGAGGCATAAATGGGTCTGTTTACGTCTGGCAAAGCTGCCTTGTATCTTTTTTTTTTTTTTTCTGATGCATGACATTTTTTATCGGACCACTCGCACTTTTGCCATTCATGGTTCCGTGTCTAACAAACAAAGCAGGCGGCGTGCCTCTCTTATACGTATTCCTACTTCAAATATGCATACAGGGGTTAATAAGCCCAAATAATGTGATATGATATTTCAGCTTCCGATGCGCAAATACTCTTACCAAGGGTTCTATTATGTTCACATAAATAATGTAAGATTAAAAGATTAAAAGTGAAGTTATGCTACTACAAAAGTTGCTGTTCCGTTGTCGGAGGCCCATCGGCGCGAAGTAGACGGTTAAATGAAAAATTGTGTGAATTGCTTTGAAATCTGTCAGAACGTCGTCGAAAACAATATTTCCGGAATGAGCGATGCTATATGCACTACGTAGTGCACTTTGAACGGAAATTGCTATATGCACTACGCTGAGAGCTCATGCCGCTCGGGCCACCCTTTTTCGAACTGCGCGTGTATCACTGGGGAGCTCGTTAACCCAGCCCCCCGCCTGCGTTCACGCCGCTTCGCGGCGACAGTATGCGGCTGTTAATTAGAAAAGTTAACCAGTACACGCCGCTTCGCGGCGTCCAGCCGGCAACCCAAGCCCCGCTGTCCCCGATCTGCGAAGTCTGCGAAGTTTCGTCGACAACATTCGGTGTTCTTTTTTTTTTTTTCTAGTGTTCATCGCAAGAAAGAAATATAAATATCGCCAAATGCCTCGTCAAAACAACGTTCAAAAAAAAAAAAAAAAAAAAAAAAAAAAAAAGGTAGGATCACCGCGATTGGACCCTGCGTCCACTTGCGTACGAAGCGGACACGCTAACCCCTACGCTATGCCACCAGTTGTAAAACTCGTCGTGATCAATCATTTTATACGAGACAAACGTAGTGCATATAGCAATTTCCGGCCGAGCTGCACTCCGGAGTGCATATAGCATTACTCTTCCGGAATTTCCGCAGCCGTCTCTATGCAGTCTAATACTAAAACACTTACGCAGAATAACGAGAAATAATGCTATCACATTTAAACAACAAAACCCACTAAAAATAAAATAAAAATGTAAAAAAGAGAGGAAAAATGCGCGAAAAGCGACAGGAACAGAGAGGTGTGCACACAAAGAGCGTTGTGTGTGCACATCTTTTCTGTCCGTATCGTTTTTTGTGCTGTGGTTTTCTACCCTTTTACCATGCTACACCAACTAGCCCACGTTACACTCTAAGAAAAGCCCGTGAGCCTGCTTTCCCGCACAACACTGGGAGAGCCAATCACCGCAACTTACGGAGGCAGCTTAGCGAATGACGATGCTGAAACATATGTTTATACCAAAAACAATGTCTGAGTTGTGATATTAAGCAATGCAAGCGTGACGTTTTGCATTGCTTAGTGTCACAACTCAGACTGCGTTTTTTAGTCTAAACATATGTTTCCACATTGTCATTCGCTGAGCTGCCCCCGTAAGTTGCGGTGATTAGCTCTCCAAGTGTTGCGCGTGAAAGTGGACGCACAGACTTTTTTTAGAGTGTACCACTGTGTTTCGGCAACATCTCGTTTTTTCGGGAAGTGTGGGGGAGGGGGAGGGAGGAAAAATTACA